CACAGTGTTCATTGAGGGACTTGCAAGTAGTGGTGGATGTTCCCTCTCTGTCATGATTAATTTGGATTTATTTTTATTTGTTTATGGATATGCTAGCTAGGCCAGCATTTATTGCCCAGCCTTAATTGTCAAGAGGGCAGTTAAGAGTCAACCACGTTCCTGCTGGTTTGGTGTCACATTTAGGCCACACCAGGCAAGGACAGCAGATTTCCTTCTTTTGAGACATTATTGCAATAGCAAACATTGCAAGATCAAAAATGTAACACTGCTAGTGAAGAAAGTAGGGAATTGCATGTTCATTAACCTGGCATCAGTCCTTAGAAAAATTTTGGAATCCATTGATAACCAAGTGGTAACAGCACACTTAGAAAATCATAATATGATTAGGCAAGGTGGATATGGTTTTATAAAAGTGCCCTTGAACATGAAATAAGAAAGGTTAACATAAGTGAGCAAATCAAGAAGGCAAATAATGTTTTGGTCTTTATTGCAACATGGTTGCAGTGCAAGAATAAAGAAGCTTTGCTGCAATTGTGCAGGACTTTGATGAGACTACCTAGAATCACAGAATTGTTACTGTGGGGAAGGCCATTCAGCCTATCATGTTTGCACCTGCTCTCTGAATGAGTAACATGACTGCGTGTTATTCTCCTGCCCTTTTCCATAACTCTGCATATTTTTTGTACTTAAATAATCATTGAATGCTCTCTTATTGAAGCTGTCTCTACCACATTTCCTAGATGGTGCTTTCCAGAACTGAATGACTCGCTGTGTGAACTGGCTTTTTTCTCACATCATATTTAATTCTTTTGCAAATCATCTTAGACCTGGCCCTTTTGTTCTTGATCTGTTTCAAAAAATGTGATCAGTTTCTCCCTGTGTACTCTGCTCAGACTTCTCTTAATTTTGAAATCTTCAATCATTTCTCCTCTTACCTGTCTCCTGTCCGAGTCCCAACTTCTCTAATGTATTTTCATAACTAGAACCATTCTTGTAAACCTCTTCTGAACTCTCTCCATTGTCGAGTACAGTGCCATACTCTAGCTGAGATCTGACTAGCATTTTATGAAGATTTAACACAACCTTCCTGCTCTTGTAACCTATTACTAATAAACCCTAGAATACTATTGTTTAGAGTCATAGAGTCATAGAGCTGTACAGCAAGCAAACAGACCCTTCAGTCGAACTCGTCCATGCTGGTCATATATCCTAAATAAATCTAGTCCCATTTGCCAGTATTTGGTCCACATCCCTCCAAACCCTCCCTAGTCATATACCCATCCAGATGCCTTTTAAATGTTGTAATTGTACCAGCCTCCACCACTTCCTCTGGCAGCTCAATCCATTCATGCACCACCCTCTGTGTGAAAATGTTGCCCCTTAGGTCCTTTTTCCTCTCACCTTAAATCTGTGCCTCTAGTTTTGTACACCCCCACCGTGGGGAAAAAAAGAAACTTGTCTATTTACCCTATCCATGCCCCCTCATGATTTTATAAGCTTCTATAAGGTCACCCCTCAGCCCCCGATGCTTCAGGGAAAATAGTCCCAGCCTATTGAGCCTCTCCCTATAGCTCAAGCCCTCCAACCCTGGCAACATCCTTGTAAATCTTTTCTGAACCCTTTCAAGTTTCACAATATCCTTCTATAGCAGGGACACCAGAACTGTACACAGTATTCCAAAAGTGGTCAAACCAAGGTCCTGTACAGCTGCAACATGACTTCCCAACTCGTATACTCAATGCACTGACCAATAAAGGCAAGCATGCCAAATGCCTTCTTCACTATCCTATCAACCGGTGACTGCACTTTCAAGGAACTATGAACCTGCACTCCAAGGTCGCTTTGTTCAGTAACACTCCCAGGACCTTACCATTAAGTGTATAAGTCCTGCCCTGATTGCCTCTTCAAAATGCAGCACCTCACATTTATCTAAATTAAATTCCAACTGCCACTCCTTGGCCCATTGGCTCATCTGATCAAGATCCTGTTGTACTCTGAGGTAACCTTCACTGTCTACTACACCTCCAATTTTGATGTCATTGGCAAACTTACTAACCACACCTCCTGTGTTCACATCCAAATCGTTTATATAAATAACGAAAAGCAGTTGACCCAGCACCGATCCTTGTGGCACACCTCTGGTCACAGACTTCCAGTCTGAAAAACAACGCTCTATCACCACCCTCTGCCTTCTACCTTCGTGCCAGTTCTGTATTCAAATGGCTGGTTCTCCCTGTATTCCATGTGATCTAACCTTGCTAACCAATCTACAATGAGGAACTTTGTTGAACGCCTTACTGAAGTCCATACAGATCACGTCCACCACTCTGCCCTCACCAATCCTTTTCGTTACTTCTTTAAAAAACTCAATTAAGAGAGTGAGACATGAGTTCCCATGCACAGAGCCATGTTGACTATCCCTAATCTTTTCCTTTGCCTTTCCAAATACATATAAATCCTGTCCTGCAGGATCCCCTCTAAAAACTTGCCCACCACTGATGTCAGACTATAGTTCCCTGGCTTTTCCTTACCACCTTTCTTAAATCATGGCACCACAAGCTCCAGTCTTCCGGCACCTCACTTGTGGCTGTCAATGGTACAAATATCTCAGCAAGGGACCCAGCAATCACTTCCCTAACTTCCTACAGAGTTCTAGGGTACACCTGATCAGGTCCTGTGGATTTATCTAGCTTTATCCATTTTAAGCCATCCAGCACCACCACCGCTGTAACATGGACTCTTTTCAAGATATTGCTATTTACTTTCCCATGTTCTATATCTTCCATATCCTTATCCACTGTAAACACTAATGCAAAATACTTGTTTAATATCTTCCCCCATCTCCTGCGGTCCCACACATTTATTAACAGCTCCCTCCACTTGTCCTGCAACCTTCGAGTAAGCATCCAGGTATCACCATTCCTTTAGAGTGGTACCTTTTATTTTATACTGTATCTCTTTGTTCTTTGTTTCACCATACACTTCACCAGATTGGGCTTCTTCTGTTACCTACTTATCCTATATGGATAATTTTTGGTCTCTATGTCCAAGGAAAGATGTACTTACATGGGAGCTGTTGATCAATTGTGTTTTGGATTGAGCATGGATTGTATAAGAGATTGAGTAAAATGGCCTGTATTCTGGAGTTTAGAAGAATGACATATAATTGTATTGAGACAAGCGCGATTCAGAAAGGGATTGACAAGGTAAAAACTGAGAGACTGTTTCCCATGGCTGGTGAATCCAGAATCAGGGCATGTACTTTCTGAATAAGGGTACAGCTATTTTCAGACTCTCATGATGAAGCATTTCATCAATTGGAGGGTTATGAATCTTTAGAATCCTCTCTCTTCAAAGGGCTATAGATGAAGTATATTCAAGGCTGAGATGAATAAATTTTTATACTCCAAGGTTGTCATTAAGGATTTGAGAGTCGGGTGGAAAAGTGAAGTTGAAATACCAGATTAGCCATGATCTTTTGAACTAATGTAGCAAGCCCATGTAATGAGGCTGAATGGACTACTCCTATTTTTTTTAAATCAACCTGCTCAGAAATGTTATTGCACACCTCTGGAGCAGGTATGACTTGAACCTGGGCCTCCCAGTTCTGGGGCAAGAACACTACCACTGTGCTACAAGAGGGCCCCAAAGTTGAATTCACATTTCACCATTTGCCATGGTGGGATTTGAAGCTAAGTCCCCAGAACATTACTTGCGTCTCTGGATTAGTAGCACGGTGATAATATCACTAGGCCATTCCCTCCCCAGTTGAAATTCCCTAAGAGAATGAGAATTTTAAAATCAAGGCGGTGTCTGCTTGGGAGCCAATATAAATTAAAAAAGCACAGAGGTGATGGCCGAACATCCACCTTTACACATATACAATATTGTGGTCCTGAATCATCATTACATACTTTTTAGATTCAAATATTGTATGTTCTTACTTCTCAATGCCATGCATGACAGCTTCAAATTACTTTTATTCATAGTGTAATAGAAGCAGGACTAGTTACAAGTATCATCAGCAATTGTTGATGCATCTCCTACTGTCTGAGAATGGCAAAGAAATTCATGGAACTATAATTAACAGTGGAAAAAGAGGGGATGAGTTTTGAATCATCAAAGTTAGTAATTTTATGGGTTGCTTAAAAGAAATTAGTGATAGTAATAGGTCATGTGATTCATCCCAGCATATTATCATACTTTAAATTACATTTTAGGAAAATGCAAATACTTAAAAGGCAAACGGACCTTTTTTAAAATAGATCAATATTTACTGCTGAGCTTTTTTAATCCTTCTCTGCAGAGAACTGTCATTTGTTTCTCTATCCATTGCCTGAGATTATTCTACACTTTCAAAAAAAAATTCTGCCTGATTTCCCTCCTTACTCACTTATAACGACTGTCCCCTGTAATTCAAAGAGTTTGCCATCTTTCAAAGTTGTTTTTTGTTTTGTGTAGTCATAAGCTTGAAAATTATCTTTGGAACTCTGCTGTCCTTGATCAGACCAGGTTCTCTCAATCAGTCACTTCTTGTACTTGTATTCCAATTGAAACTTCAGTTGAGCTCTTGTAGGCAGAAGATTAAGCCGCTGAAGATCTCAAATCATCAGTTCTGTATTTTTTTTAAGATGTGTCTAGACAGATGCATGAATGGACAGGGAGCAGAGGGATACAGATCCTTGGAAAATAGGCAACAGGTTTCGATAGAGGATCTGGATCGGTGCAGGCTTGGTGGGCCGAAGGGCCTGTTCCTGTGCTGTAATTTTCTTTGCTCTTTGCTCTTTGTTTCACTGCAAGTTCCTCTGACTGCACAAGTGGTAGAGACTGGGCTGTTATACTCTGTTTTTTGTACTGTCGGTTGACTCCTCAGCTCTTTCTTGTTTACTAGCTTTGTTCTGTCTGCATTATTTCTCGTTGGTGTTATTTGTCAATGTCTGTGACTTGGTCTCTGAAAACGTTCCCTTGATTCACTATCTTCATTCATTTCTTCCAACCAGCTGTATGATGATCATAAACATCTATTTGATATCAAAGAGAACATGGCCTCCACACTAGTGGAAAGAGTGGCTGGTGATATCGAGAAGCTCTTAGACAAGAAAGTGGAAGCTCTGGAGGTAAGGATTTCAGATAATACCTTCTTCAGCTTCAACAAAACTTGTTTCATTTATTAATTAAGAATTTTGAGAATGTTGTGTGAATTTGAGAGTTGGCGATCCAGCCGACCTGTGACATTCTGAGGTCAGAGCCTCTGGGTGGCTGGTTGGGAGACGTGGGTTGGGACTTTGGGTTTGTGGTGAATTCTGAGCAATTCTCCTGTTGAGGATCACATTTTAGAATCACTCAGAATTTTCTTTATTTTAATACGCTACAAAATGGAATCAGTAACCCCTCAGAGGCTTGAAGTCTTTTAATTGGTTGGAGTGCCTCTTAATTCAAAAGCATATTTCTCTTTGCTGGTATATAAATATACTCGTGTTGGTTACTGTCTTGAATACTTACTTTTCAAATGCAGATGTGACTGATAATGATGATCAAAGACTATTGGATATATGTATAAAAGAACAATGATGATATATCCTTGGTATGAAATGCTTGCTGGTCTTATTGATCTCCCATTATCTGGTGAGGCAAATATTAATTATTTATTTTACTCTTGGAAACCTTGTCCTGATTGTATTTTCTTGACCTGGATGCTTGTGATAACATGAATATTTAAAGGTATGTGATTCTGTTTGGAGCTGGTTGTGTCTTTCTGGGGTGGGGGAAACTCATTTGAAGCATAAAGTATTTCTGGACAGGAAAGATATTTCAAAATGCTTGGAGCTTCTGTTGCAGATTTAAAGTCAGATTTTAGAAAACCTTCTATTTCTGTATCCAACACCTTCTGATAATCTCAGTGGTCCTGAAATTTCTCTTGGAGCCTTATGAACCCTCACTATAATTCTAGCAGGGATTTCACAGAAATGACAAAGAGCCAGGTTCTTTCAATCAGTTTCTGCATTGGCTTTCCATTGGTTCTTAGAAAGCAATTTATGGTTAAGTGTATGAGAACGGAATGGGTGTGAGGATTCCCTAAGCTGGGAGTTCTTTGTCTTGGCCTTGGAAAGATAGCCAGCTGTTTAATGGCAGCCATTACATTCAATACAATGTATCTTACCTCTACGTACACATGCAAATGTGGGCTCCATTGACATGCTTTAGGTCAGACAAGTAACTCAAGGAAACATAGAAAGGAGAAGGAGGAGTAGGCCATTTGGCCTTTTGAGCCCACTCCACTATTCAATATGATCGTGGCTGATTTCCTACTTCATACCCTGTTCCTGCTTTCACCTCATACCCTTTGATCCTTTTAGCACTAAAAGCTGTATCTTAACTCCTTCTTGAAAACATCCAATGTTTTAGTCTCAACCTTTTTCTATGGCAGAGAATTCCACAGCTCACAACTGACTGTCCTAAATGGCTCACTGTGTATCCTTAGACTGTGACCTCTGTGTCTGGACTCCTCAGTTAACGTTTCTGTGTTCACTCTGTCTAATCCTGTTAGAATTTTATAGGTTTCAATGAGAACCCCCTTCATTGTTTGAAATACCAGTGAATATAGCCCTAATCAACCCAGTCTCTCTTCGCAGGTCAGTCCTGCCATTGTTGCACTCCGTCCATAGCCAGAACATTACTCCTCAAAAAAAGACCAAAACCGCAAACAATACTCCATGTATGGTCTTACCGTGGCCCTGTACAATTGCAGCAACACATCCCTGCTCCTGTACTTGAATCTTCATGTTATGAAGGACAATATACCATTGACCACTTTCACTGCCTACTGTACCAGCATGTTTACTTTCAGCAACTGGTGTGCACTCAGGTTTTGTTGTTTCTTCCCTTTCTCAGTCTATTGCTATTCAGCTGATAACCTGCTTATCTGCTTTTGCCACTGAAGTGGTCAACCTCACATTTATCCACACTATATTTCATCTGCGATGCATCTGCCCATTCACTCAATTTATTCAAATCACAAAGATTTCTGCATCCTCCTCACAGTTCAACCTCTCACACAGCTTTCTGTTGTTTACATCCCTCATGTAAATATGTTGTGAATAACTGGGGACCAAGCATTGATCCCAGCAGTACCCCATTAGTCACTGGTGGTCACTTGGAAAATTGCCAGTTTATTCTTACTCTTTGTTTCCTGACTGCCAGCCAGTTCTCCACCAGTGTCATTACAACACTCACAATTCCATGTGCTTTAATTTTACCCACTAATTTATTATATGGGACCTCAATAAACCACATTCACTGGTTTTCCCTTATCAGCTCTACTATTTACATTCTTGTAAAATTCCTGTAAATTTGTCAAGCATGGTTTCCCTTTTGTTTATCCATAAAGACTCTGTCTAAACCTGTCACTGTTTTCTGAGTGCTCTGCTATTAAAACTTGGCTGTAGCATTTTCCCCACTGCCAATGTCAAACTAACTGGTCTGTAATTCTCTGTTTCTTTTTACATCCTCCTTTAAATAGTGAGTTTACATTAGCTACCTTCCAGTCCATAGGAACTGTTTCAGAGTCTACAAAGTCTTGAAAGAATACCACTAATGCATCCACTATTTCTAAGGCTGCTTCCTTAAGTACTCTGCGATCTAGGTCGTTGCGCCTTTTAATCCCATCAATTTCCCCAACACTGATTTCCTTCAGTTCCTCCCTCCCACTAGACCCTCTGTTCATAACATTTTTCGGACATTATTTGTGTCTTCCTTTATGAAGACAGAACGAAGATATGTATGGTTCTCAATTATAACTTCCCTGCTTCTGATTGTAGGGGACTACATTTATCTTCAATAATCTTTTCTATTCATGTTCCAGTAGAATCTTTTACAACTTTTGTATGTTCCCCACAAGCTTACAAATGTATTCTATAATCCCCTCTTGATCAGCTCCTTTGTGCTTTCTTGGTGAAATCTAAACTGCTCCCAATCCTCAGGTCTGTTGCTTTTTTTTTTGCCCAATTTGTATGCCCCTTCCTGGGATCGAATGATATCCTAATTTCCCTTGTTAGCGATGGTCAGGCCACCTCTTCCTGTTTTATTTTTGTGCCTGACAATAATGTACAACTGTTGCACTTCCTGCATGTCTTTTTAAAATATTTGTGATTGCATATTCACCATCATTCCTTTAAGTAACATTTCTCAATTTATCAGAGCTAGTTTATACCTCTTACCAACTAGTTTCCTTTATTTAGAATCTGGACCCTAGTCTCAGAATTAACAATCCCCAGTATTGTTTTCTGCCCTTTGGTGTTTCTAACCTCCTATCCATAGAGATTCCATTTTACCAGAGCTAATATTCTTTCTCACTATTGTGTTAATGTCCTCTTTAGCCAACACTGATACCTCCTTTTCCTCTTTTCCTGTCCTTTCTAAAAAGTAAATGCCCCTATAATCTAATAGGAACCGGGACAGTTTGGTGCTTAGTGAAGCTGTAGACTGTTTCTTTAAGCCTGCCTTCAAAGTTTGGAATGTTCTTTCTGCCATATCATTGGATGATGGATGGCATGGAATTGTCCTTATATGTCGAATACCATTCAATTTTAGGGAATACTGAAACTCCCTGCTGGTAAACGATGGCCCACTATCTGTGACCAACACTTATAGGCATCTATGTGTTGCAAAAGATGCATGTAATTTTTCTACTGTCTTCCCCATGTTTGACGAATGAATTTTATGCACATTCAGGCACTTTTTGTGGACTAAGAACGTTGAGCCCATGAAAGGACCAACATAGTCAATATGTAACTTAGTCCAGGGTTTACCCAGCCATTCCCGTGCATGTGGGGAGCAGCTAGTGGTAATTTTTGTCCTTATGGGCACTGCCCCACCAATGTAGCTATGTCTGCATCCAATCCTGGCCACCGTCAATTTTTCGCTGACATCTTCACTTTGGAAACCCCTGCAGGACCTGGTGGAGTTCAGCTAGTATCTGGCAACGACCTCTGTTTGGGACAACCACTCTTGCTCCTCATAACATTCTACTGTGATCTGGTCTCTCCAGGTCCAAAAAGGTTTCCGTTCTGGTTGTGACAGCTCTTTGGTTTCTCCCATCACCATGAGCTGTTTCAGTTTTGCCAGGACCAGATCTTTCTATTTTCAAAGATTGGTATTGTCAACTGTGACTGGCAGTGTGTCCAAAAATTTAAAATGATTACTGTTCCAGTGGCAGTAGCGCTAATGGTGCATCAGCCAGCAGGAGGCAGTTTAATGCATTCCTATTTGCTACTTGACGTCCCAGACAGTGTTCCAACTTGTAATTATGTGCACTTAGTATTAGCCCACTGCTACATTCAGCCTGAAGTTATGCATGGCACTACCTTGTCATATTTAAATGAACCTGGCAAAAGCTTGTGGTCCATTATTATTGCAAATTTACATCCGTAAAGGTATTGGTAGAACTTCCTGACTCTAAAATGACTGCCAAACCTTTCTTCTTTATCTGGGTATATTTATGCTTTGCATTAACTAAAGTTCTGGATGCATACACTATTGGCCCTTCCTCTGCATTGGGCCATCGATGAGCTAATACTATCCTGCTACTATACGGGCAGGCATCGCATGCCGATAACAGATCTTGCTTGAGGTCATAGTGTGCCAACACCTTAGAGGATGATAGTTGTTTCGTCACTTACCTGAAAGGTATTGTTCGTCTACAAAAATTTCAAAGGTTGACTGTTTTCTAAGGGTTGATGCTAAGGTGGCAGGATGGAGGCCAGGTTATGTATGAACTTTCTGTAATAATTCACCAGCCCAAAGAAAGACTAAGCTCCGGTACAGACATGGGAGCTGGGGCACCTTTGAGTGCTCTCGCTTTGTCTTCCAACAGGTGTAACCTGATCTTGTCAACTCTGTAACCCAAGTAGGACACTTGGGGTGCCTGGAACACACATTTCCTTTCTAAGACACATGCCCACTTGGGAGAAATGTATAAGAACTGTGTCTCTAAGTGCTCCATTTTGGTCTGCCCTATCTAGATAATAGTACATAATGTAGATAAATGGCAACCTTGTAATATGTTTTCCATTGTCCGCTGAAAAATTGCACAGGCTGGCAATACCCGAAATAGCAGTCT